ATCCATATTGACACCTTTTATATTTAAAACTCACAAATAGTTTAAAAGCCTACACAATTTGAATAATGTACGCTCATTTATTATTTACAACTTATTGTTGATTTTGTCTTCATTATCCTTAGTTTTGGCCAATAGTGCCAAGTGTAATGGAAATGTGTCAACGCAAAAATCGTACAACACTGTTTACAATGCTAATATGTTCCAGAGTACAGATTTCGTAACACCTTACAGTGTAAACCCCCTGGTTATTTATACTTCTCTTATTCAAAAATATACAGGGGTGTTGTGGAATCCAGAACAGATTTGCATAGTTGTCAGAATTACAAACCAATTCTGATTTTCAACGGTGTCACAGAATCGGATTGTTTTTCGTCTTTTCAAACATACGCAAAACCAATATTCGAATAAGTTGTTTACTAATGTGCCAAAACTTGCAAATGAGTAAATTTGGAATCAATTCTATTAAAGTTTACAATAAGTTAAGAAATTTTATCTTTTATTTTAATGGAGGAAAAGATTAAAGGAAATATTTTAGGAGATCACAGTAATCTACCTTAGGTTGCTTTTACTTGTATGATTGCATGTATTTATTTGTTTACTTTACAGATTTATATTACATTATCGCCTGAATAAAGGTGAATTTGTTATAGTACTAAATTACGTTTTGTAAATCTTCTTAAAATATCTGGATTTTTTCCATAAACTCAATAATTATGGCATTTTGTGTTCTATTCTTATGATTTCCGCTATAGAAATAGAGATCGTTAATTCGTAACAATAAAATAAATTAATTTCTTAACTTGCATTTCAAATCTGTCAGCGACTATCTTCTTGCTTTGTTTCTGATAACAAAACTGACAACATTGGTTTCCCGGACACCCAAAACCGATACAATTTCTGTCGGTTTCAATTCTGATTCCGACAACTATCTGATTCTACAACACCGCTGATAAATTTGTTATGCCAAGCTTTGTCAAGAAATATGTAATAAGAATTATTATACAAAGCCAGTTTACTTATCCGACTTCGTAGCTGCCCATGCCGATGTAGTTACGAAGTATTCAGATGAACAGCCAATACATATATTTAAAAAACAAAATTTATTCCATCCACAAAATAATATGAATTATATCACATTTTAATTGCACACTTTTAATAATGGATTCAAAGACAAAAAAACAAAAACAAGATGTATAGTATATACATACGGCTATATTACCACATGCATGAACATAGCATTCGGAAACGACTTGAAACTTGTGGCTAAAAATTATACATATAAGAGAACTTAAATATGATCAAAATAATACTATTGAGTACTCAGAAAAACATCTACTAACTCTTTTATCTTGGATTTGAATTAAAAACATTGAGTCAATCAGGGCTGTGAAATCCAAGACAGATTTGTGTAGTCAGAATTGCAAACCAATTCTGATTTTAAATGGTGTCACAGAATCTGACTGAATTTGCGTCTTTTCGAACATATGCAAAACCAATATTCGAATCAACTGTTTACTAATGTGACAAAATTTGCAAATAAATAAATTAGGAAGCGTTTTATAAATTTGAAATGCTGAATGAAGTCTACTAAAGTTTACAATGAGTTCCGCTATTTTAGCTTTTATTTTATTTGAAGAAAAAATAAAAGGAATATATTAAAAGATCACAGTAATCCACTTGATGCACCAGGGGAGTTGCATGTGAAATTTGGCTTGCATTTACTTGTATTTTTGTAGACATGCTTACATTATCGACTGAATAAAGACGCATTTGGGTGTTAAATTACGTTTTGTAAATTCTCTTAAAATATCTTGATTTTTTCCATAAACTCGATTATTGACATTTTTGGTTTTATTCTTATGTTTTCCCCTATAGAAATAACAATAAACTTAATCGTAATAATAATAAAAATTATTTTCTTCACTTACATTTCAAATCTGTCAGCAAAAATGGTCCTCATGGTCCGTTTCCGAGAACAAAATCGACAAAATTGGTTTCCGTGACACCCAAAACCGATACAATTTCTATTTCGAACGTCAAACCTATAATATCTGAATTCATGACACCTAGTACATTTTTTTATCGGTTTCAATTCTGATTCCGACAACTCTCAGATTCTACAACACCCCTGAATATATATGTATATATACAAAGTAGTACTTAAACTGTCTGTTAAATACATAACCGGAAAGGATCCGGATTTTTAGTCGGTGAACAACTGCCAACCCGGTAGCTTTCCTCAAAATTGTTTGTGGATTGCTTTTCGCAGCTGCGACCACAACACTTCCTAAATGGTCCTAACGTGGGCAACAACTGAAATACGTGAAATCTTTGAACCAGCATCATATTGCATTATGCATTACAGAGCAACGGGAATAGAGAGACCAGCTTTTAGAAATTAAAACCCCTATCACGATTTTCAACACCACTCGGTTTAATTAAAACTGAAGCAATTCATCTTCAAATCAACCCAACTCTTTTTTGGTATTACGATTCTTAACTATTTTCAGTCGAAGTTTGATTAGTGTGGCTAACCTAAAAAATGAAGATTTGACATATAAATAAAGTTTAAAATTTTTAAACGAAAAATCAAAACAAGAGAAAACGTTAACTTCGGTTGCAACGAAGCTATAATACCCTTCACAAATACAAAGGCCCCTTACAAGAACTTGATTTCGAACGTTCAATTTGTATGGTAGCTATATGATATAGTGATCTGATCTGACCAATTTATGCGGAGAATAATTTGTTGCCTTAAGCGATAACTCGTGCCTAACTTCGTGAAGATACCTCGTCAAATAAACAAATCTTCCATGCAAGCACTTTACTCCGATCGTTCAGTTAATATGGCAGCTATATGCTATAGTCATCCGATCTATACAATTTCTTTGGCGATTAGATTATTGCCTAATATAATAATCCATGCCAAGTTTCGTGAAGTTACCTCGTCAAATGAAAGAGTTTTCCATACAAGCACTTCATTCCGATTGTTCAGTTTGTATGGCAGCTATATGCTATAGTCATCCGATCTGAATAATTTCTTCGGAGATTACATTGTTGCCTTTAATAATAATCCGTGCCAAATTTCGTGAAGATACCTGGTCAAATGAAAGAGTTTTCTATACAAACTCTTGTTTCCGATTGTTCAGTTTGTATGGCAGCTATATGCTATAGTAGTCCGATATCGGCCGTTCCGACAAATGAGCAGCTTCTTTGTGAGAAAAGGACAAGTGCAAAATTTTAGATCGATAGCATAAAAACTGAGGAACTAGTTTGTAGAGACAGACAGACGGACATGGCTAAATCAACTCAGCTCATCATGCTGATCATTTATGTATATATTTTATAGGGTCTCCGACGTTTCCTTCTGGGTGTTACAAACTTCGTGGCAAACTTAATGTACCCTGTTCAGGGTATACAAATTTAGTTATTGCTCACGAAAAGGTGAATAATTATTAAAATGGACATTTATACAGTCAAACTTGAGTAAGAGAGAACTGGGTAAGCGAGAAAACTCTGTAAGTGCATAAGTACAGCTCTTACAACAACTTATAATGTCTAAACGAAAAATCAACGTGTTGTCGTTCCTTGAACTCTCTCTTAACCAGGTTTGACTGTATTACGATGACGAAATGTTGGCGCTCAAAGCCATTCAAAGCCAAAGTTTTATTGACAATTAAATGGTTATTCCGGATAACTACCGTCAGCAAGGAAATTGAAGAGTTTGTGGTAACGGAGCTTCATTTTATTTAGTAAAAAACAAAATGATTCTTCAATTAAGCGCAAATGCCTTTTGAATTGCATAAATATTATTTATTTAGTTATTCTTGATAACTACCGTCAGCAAGGAAATTGAGAGTTTGTGGTAACGTACCTTCATTTTATTTAGTAAAAAAAAAAACAATTTATTTAATATTTATGCAATTTATAAGGCATTTGTGTTTAAATGAAGAATCATTTTGTTTTTTACTAAATAATATGAAGGTACCTTACCACAAACTTTCAATTTCCTTGCTGACGGTAGTTATCAAGAATACATTTAACACTAGAACTACGAACCGGTTGCATCATTTATTTATACCATTTTTTCTTTATTCCTATTTAATATTTTACAATAATGTCATGATTTTTATTAAATAATATTATAGATTATTTTGTTCTTACGCTTCTAATTTTCTGAGCGAGAGACCTTTTTGAAATAGTTCTAGTGTTAAAATGTTTTTTTACTTTGGGCTGAAGCAACCTAAGATATCTATGGTTGTTAGAAAACCTGCTTTCAAATATTACAAGCAACATATTTGTGCGCTGTGGATAAAACACCAGTAGTTGAAGAAGAGCAAAACACATCAAAAATTTAATTTTACTCAAAAAATATATTCCTAGGAGTAGTAAATTGTATAAAATCTTTATGTTTGAAATACTTCTCGCGGCCCCTTAATATTATTTTAATGTCTCCAAATTGTAGTTTGTCTCCTCCAGTTTCGACATTTTACTCCACGAGCTCAACAATTTTTTCACCTTTCTATGAATTTTTACATAATAACTGATTAAAATAGATTGAAATTATAACTAAAATAGTTCTTTTTACCAATTTTTTATTAATATTTTTCCTAAATAAATTTATTAATGTTCAACTATAACTTGCTCAGTTGACATTTTTTGATACTCTAGTCAACTGCACTGGCACATAGTTGAAAACCGTAATACCAAAAAAATTAAGTTTAACAACCCTTCAACCGACATTCTTTTGTGACGGGTATAGTTGAACACCATAATACAAAATTTCAAAACTTCAACCAATATGCAGTTGGGTTAAAAACCGTAAGAGGATTCTTGATCTGTTTATCATCTAAATAAATGCCGATAGCGAAGAAAGAAATGGTTGAAGCATGCGTATTTTGATTACCCTGTCAGCGGTTTCAAGCTTTTTATGGCGTTACAGGACCAAATACAACAATGCAGATCAGCTTTTATACATTAAATCTGTTTGCATGTTATCTAAGATGCCAAGTAAAATTTTTATTCACAATCATATTTAATCTTTGTGTGTATTGTCTTAATATTAATAAGACTTAGTAGTATTTTAGTTGTGTTTAATTCATCGTACTGAGTTCGAATATCATTGTAAATTTTATACAAAATCGCTCAAAAATTTTACAACAAATACACCTTAATACAGAAATCTAGAATAGCATGCAGAACTATAATAATTTGTTGATCTGTATGTTAATCGGAATGTTAAGCTGATCAAAGCTATTTTGTAAAGCTTATTTTGATAATACTCATATTGGCCTCTTCTTAGGAAATAAACTTATTTAATTTTTAACCACAAAAAACTAGTCGTATTTCATACATTCTTTACAAAAAAAAACTTCGTATAGATTAAGAACGAAACCAATAAGAGAAGTAGTCGTAATAACATAAAAACTAATTAGCTAATTAGCATTGCCTCCTAAACAACAAACCTTTAGATTTTAAATAATTCGTTTAAATATTGCCAATATCTCAACTGTATTAATCGATTATTTACACATTATTACATAGTTTCATAGGTTACTCTTTATGTATGCAAATTTATATAAAAAAATAAAAAGTATGTACTTTTATATACTACAGTCGATGAGAAATAATAGCAGTGAAAGTCCAAATTCTTTAGAAACTAAGCTTTGTGTACAAATATTTCTAATATATATATTGATGTAGTAGATTATACATATCTACGCGTGATATGAAAAAATAAGAAATAAAATGATATGGTGGTTGGTACGAATATCTTATGCTTACGGGCGCATGCTCAGATATTATAATACTTATTATTTTGAACGAATTATTAATAATAATAATGCTGTATATACACTGAATGAGTCTACAAATACTCTTTAATCCTAAATTATAGTATCCAACTGTCTGGCCTGATGTAAAATCTTTTTTTGATGCCCCACTAAGGTTATACCCATGTCAGATAATTGTTGAGCGGTTAACCGGGAAATCTATAATAAAAAGAAAAGTATCTCATAAAAGTTGATAATTATTTTAAATTTGCAGATAAAGTATATATATCCTCTAGGAAACTTGGTAACATAAACTAATTAAGGGGAAGGAACAAGGAGTATTAGATTGCAAGCACTAAAGGCGTGGAAATAATTACCGATTTCGGAAAACCTTACTAATAAAAATATTTGGTGAGTTCAGCATAACGTTTTATACGAAATATTGAAACGATTACAATCTTCTTTGGCACCTCATTAAGGGTGCGTTCGAGCTACGTAATAATTGCAGCAGTACAGCTACTGTGTTGCATATTTGCTGATACTCTGCTGATGTGCAGGCAAAAATTTAGTGTTGCCGATTATTTGCATAAATTGCGCACAAAAAATGACAGCAGAACGTGATGCTGTTGCAGGTGTTGCCAAAAATTCACGCAGAAAGTGATACTTTGACAAATTTGCAACACTGCTGTCGTGATTGCCATCTCCAACGCACCCTAACTTATGCGTCGGATTCCACAATATTATTAAATCAAATCAGACATAAATCACTGTAACCATTAATTACTACGATTCACATAATTCGAATCGCAAAATTCACGATAAATTATATTGAAATAGCCTACGCTCACACCAACATAAGCGGTACAAAGTCATGTAATAAAATCTATCACTAAGGTTAAAGAGGGGAAGGTGGACGAACAACCGCCTTACTAACCCATATCAATAACAATTAGAAAACGTAAATCATTATATATGTTTTACGGAATGGGGAGAACGTACGATCCTATTTCGTCAGCATTCAGTAAGTAACCACATCTATGTCTTAAAGATGTGCTTCTAACGCCATTAAAAATCTTATTTAAGAAATCATATATTTGACCCTGAGATTATCAAAGCTGTGTATTACATTTCATTTTTACGCTATCACACATTTTCACTTAGTTTCATAAACCAGCCACATGTTAATCAATACACTATGTTGCAGAACTACGATACTGATCTAATCATGGCTGTTAAGTCTAACAAGTAAATATTTTCAAGAAAGTTATTTTATCTAATTTGTGTATTGACAACTCTAGTACTTCTGAAACTAATCACAATCTCAATCAAAAGTTGTGAAGTTGCCACTCATATATGAAATGTGTAAATCACATTTATGTACCCTTACATCACACATTGTATCAACTGATTGCAAAAACAGTAAATATAATGCAAGTTTTAAGATATAAATATACCTGTTGGGCAGTCACCAAATTAGCCTCTTTAAAATGCTGTGAATAGCGGGACATTTTAATGTTTTCCAACCATAAGTCTGTACTTATAAAAATGTTGTGACCACGTTGTCCCTCTAAAATATGTGATCCATCGTTTTCGGGCGAATTTCTCGTTGTTAGCAGTGCTTGCGGTTGTCGGGCTAAATTATCTAATGTTGATACTATACTTGAAAACGTAGGTCGGTGAGTACGTTGCTTCTGCCAGCAATCAAGCATTAACTGATACAATGCCTCAGGGCAATCCATAGGAGCCGGAAGTCTATAACCCTTTTCTATACTCTTTATGACATCCTGAAAGCGATAGAAATGCAATAACTCGAATATCCTTATTATTATTATAGAATATAAATCACCTGGTTTGACCAGTTCCAATAAGGTCGTTCACCATACGACATTACTTCCCATAAAACCACACCATATGACCATACATCTGATGCCGATGTAAACTTACGAAAAGCTATAGCTTCCGGGGCTGTCCAGCGAACTGGTATTTTACCACCCTACGGAATTGTAAATCAGTCTTTGTTTTCTAGTTTATTTTTAGATTTTAACGAACATACCCGAGTTGTATACGCATCACTAGCATTTTCTATCTCACGAGATAATCCAAAATCTGCTATTTTACATATAAGTTGAGCATTCACAAGCACATTTCGAGCTGCTAAGTCACGATGGACGTAATTCATGTCACTAAGATAAGACATACCACTGGCTATACCACGTAACATGACAATTAACTGCAATGTTTGAAATTTCCCATCATTGACTCGTAAAAATGTATCAAGGCTGCCATTTTCCATATACTCAGTAATAATCATAACGGGGTTAGAACGAGTTACCACTCCTTGAAGATATATAACGTTAGGGTGATCAAATTGACCCATTATCGATGCCTCTGTTAAAAAGTCACAGCGCGCTTTTTCGGACGAACCTAAGTGGAGAGTTATTTATCACCAACGTAAATTTTTACACAAAGCTAAATTACCTGGTTTTAGAGTTTTTATTGCAACATCTATATCTTGAACAAAATTAGGGGGGATTTTTAAACGTCCACGACACACATCCCCAAACTCGCCTCCACCTAATATATAATTTATGTTATGAAAATATCGAAATTTGTACATTTTTTTATATACGTTATACCTATTATAGCTTCAATTGTTATATAATTTGCATCGATTTCACGTGCAAATTCGCGGATGGCTTGGTTAGGATCTTCATATGTATGAGGGTCGACATAACTCCGGCTATTTCCAAATAAAGGCGTAGTCACTGCAAAAGTTTAATTATTTAATTTAATATAACCTTTGAATGAATTAAAAATAATGTAATCCAAGAAGGCCCTTGTGTTTTCTATATGCAAATACTTTTTCTAGAAATAAACAGCATCTAGAATACGCTGTTTTGTGACGATACCATTATTATGTAGAGAACTTCAATTTTAATGCCCTACTTAAAAACGCGTTACTAATCGAAAGCACCATAAGCAATCTGGTAATATACAGTTATGTGCATTTAAAGCTAAAATTAAGTATGATTTTCTTGCATTTGTAATTTCGAATAATTTTAGTTATTAGTTAAAATTCTAAGATATATCACCTTAAAACCTGTGAATTGGTAGCAAAAATTTGGTTATTTTATAACCACAAATAGTAAGCGTTGTTATTTTCAATTGAGCATGGTAAATAACAATATATGTAATATGTTAGTTAGTTAGTATAGAATTAATTTAAATGTCTGAAGTTAGCAAAAGAAAAAACAAAATACTTTCAGCTAATTTTTTTCTGCTTCAAAGGGTGCGACATAGATACAGTGTCGGACAAAACTAAAGCACGAAATTTACCATATTACCATTTAGCTGCATATAGTTTATTTACTGTTATATAATTAATATTTTCTATTTTATTTCACAAAACTATACATTTTTATTGATGTATTAAAAAAGGTAACATATTAATTATTTTTACACTTAAATATGACTTAAGGATTAACAATATACATAAAATACATGCGACAAATCTAAAGCACATTACATATAGTTAAAAAATAAAAATATTTGGTGGCATATCCATTGCCCGTTCGACAATTTTCCCGCTGAATTCTGCGATCTACAATTTCCCATAGATTCTCTATGGATTTGAGATTACAATACCTTGTGAATAACGCGGATTCAAACGTTGACCTTTTGGTCTTCGTACCAGTTTCAATTCATCAGTTCCTTTAATAGTGTAATGGGATTCATCAAAAACTACTCCAGTTAGCGTGAGCTTTTGCAAGTTCAAGCCGCGCTTTTCGATTTTTGTGCGAAATGTATGGCTTTTTGGCACTTCTGCATGTTATAAAGTTATTTTCAGATATATACAGATCGTCGCTGGATGGACCTGCACCTCCATGAATTGTGGCAAGGGAGCCCGAAGAACGAAAACGAATTATAATTCTTGCGACAATGGTGTGATTAATTGTGAATTTTTTCGAAATATTATTTACTGATATACCGTTTTCAAAATAGCTAATAATTTTTTCCCTAAATAATGCTGAATACTTTTTACGCGCCATTTCACAAATGTTTTTTTTTATTACAAAGCAACACCATCACAAATTACTAATCTAGTTGTATTAAAATTACTTCAACACGCTCTTCAATTAACGGTTTCTAACTACAGAAGGAATTTTAACGGGACTTGTTGAAATTAAGGTCAATAAATAGGTCAAAATCTTATTTGTTATAAAAAGAGGTTCAGCTTGATAAATTTTTGTTTCAAACATATAATTCTATTATATTCATAAACAAATTAAAAGTTTGGCAAAACTTTTACATTTTGTTTTTAACTAAATGTGTACAAGGTGAACTTCGTGCTTTAGTTTCGTCCGACACTGGAGGTGAATATAAAATATTATCTTATCTTATTAATATTTAGTACTTATCCCAAGTTTATAACAAAAAACTGTCCACTCGGTTTACCACTGGTTTAATTTTTGATAATGATCAATATACAAAAAATAAAATATGTTTTTATTTGGAAAAGAGATTTTGTACTGTAAAATGGTATTGTCGTTGAGGAAATAGTTTATGAAAAGTTCAAATTGAGCGAAACCTTTTTATTTTACATATGCATATATTTATTGGCTAGCACAGCTTTCATTGAGTTTTACTTTATTAAAAAGATAAAGACAATGATGAATGAAGTTCTTCGTTATAACTTAGTATACGCAATAATATCATTATCAAATCCTTGCGAGCCCATTACTGACACAGAGAGAGACCCACCACTTTTTATTGAACTTATATGTTGTAGATTTAAAAGAAAACTTTATCTTATCCCGATTGCAAAATAAATACGATTCTGCGTACTCTTTCTTTAGTTCTAAATATGTTTATGTAGCTGGAATGTTTAACTTTTAATTTTACAAGTCATTCCTTAGAACTATCGTAATTGCGGAAGTCACAAACTCTCTGAGGAGTACTACTTGTATATCCAGCTCGAGATAACAAGATATTTTCATTGTTGGGATAGCATATGCTTTTTTTTTAATTTTTTTTCTTTCGAAAGTTTGGTATAATTTTTTCCAAATATTTCGGATATATTTGACAGCCATAGAGCGATTAAATATGAAGTTATTAACATATTTTAATATTGTATTATTAATGTATTAGTACTATAAGTATGTTGTTCTATTCAAAATAACTATATATATATATATAGTATTGTTATAGCTAAAGGAAGTAGTTAGTATGACACATAATTTTTCAAACAAATTCAAGATATTAAAAAAGTTGAATGGTTCAGAAGCGCAATTGAAACTATTTGGTCTACTTAAACAGTTTAAATATAACCAATTAAAATAATATAGAAAAACCTAATCTTTATAAATAATATTTATGACATGGCCAATCATGTTTTATTTACCCAATTCAGTATACTATTCCCATTTCCATATATAATAAATAAAAAATAAAAAATTACCATTTGATTGAATGGTTTTAACGATTGGCGTAGTATCCATGGCATGAACTAAAATTTAGACAGAGAAAGCTATTGATAAATAAAAAATCCATTAAATTAAATCTAATTCAACAATATATACAGTATAATTATGTAATTTTTATACGCATTGAGTACATATGATTAATATTTGAAGAAATCTTTTCAGGCAAAATAGCGATGTAAAAAAACTTAATATATATCAGCTATATGAGTTGCGTCAGTTTGAAAAGTGATAGTTTTGTTTTTTAAAAGATGGCACTATAATCTCCGAACTACTACAACAATTTTTATTTATTTGTACGTCTTGTATATCGCTAGGATTAGGGAAGTTAAGTAAATATTTTGCACAAAATAGGTCTGAGATGTGAACGCGGCCTTATATAAAAATATATGAGAAACATTTATTAAATGATCGCATTTTATCGAAATTCACTTATAAAATGTGCCGAATATAGCACAGCCTTGTTCGGGGACCCGATAGCGATGAGCATGCTATGGAGGGCACCCCTACCTCAATATCATCAAATTAGAAACGAATCGGCATTCTGTTCTAGTTTTTCGGCAAAGTTCATCTCACCGCAATTGCTGTAATCAATTTGATAATAATCACCTGCGAAAATTTCCATCAATTTATACGATCATGATAGTACGATATTGACATCGGGCAGTGGAATATATGGCATGTGTTCAAAAGTAAACTATATCAACCGCTTTGCTCGCTTCTTTTCTCTACGGCGTCTAACACTTTAAATTCGCAGCGGCCATATTCACGAACTGGACGAAATAATACATACTGGATCTTAACATTGTAGTCGATGGTATTAAAATTCGGACTTTAACGACCCTCAAATTTTATTTGTTACACTTGACGGCTGTACTCTTTCACTCCGCATACCACCGCGATTATTTTCAAAATACAGAGCAAAATCAAACAAAATCCTTAAATCGTTAGCATGCAGCACTTAGAAAAAAGACAAGGAAACGTTAAAAGACAATCAGCCGGTCAGGAATAAACTACGCAGAAGCTAGACAGGAGGCCTCTTGATGTCCCCCATCTAACACTTACACAGTGAGGTCAGTACGCTTCCTTTTAAGGCACATAGAGCAGGAGAAGAGGTCGAGTTATCTCCACTCCGGCCTAGTTCAATAGCTGGGGATAATCTTCTATGGAAAAAAGCTCAGAAGAAAGATACAAAGAATAATACTTCTGATAAAATGAATAGGATTCCGACATACTAAAGTAATACCTTGCATGTAATGGTATGACTCCAACCATCTGTTTAAATGCCCTGTCAAACCAACTAACTCAACATATGTATATTTTTACATATAGACGATTACTTCAACTTCAAAGGTTACATCCCTTTGAACTGGACCACATACCATATGCACATATATACCGTCACGCAAGCTAAAAACGACATATCAAAATAACCGCAATTACGATTTTTATTGATTACGATTCATTACCTGTTATTACCTACACTGGGTAGAAAAAGTCTCCGCTCACCAATTTATGGAATGTGTTTCAATAAAACAAGCAAAGTAAACTCTAATGGCGCCATCTATATGTCGACTAGTGCGTTAAAATCTGTTACCCTTTATCGACTTTCGGTAAAAATTTCATGACATTTCATCTATTGGAAGTGAAGTTATTGCGTTTTAAGTGTCAGTATGTTTTTGTCATCCGTGCGAGAATGAGCTTCGAACAAAGAGCCAACATTAAATTTTGTTTTAAAATTGGTAAAACTTTTACCGAAACGTTTCAATTGATGAAACAAGTTTATGGCGATGATTGCCTATCCCGTAGCAGAGTGCACGAGTGGTTTCAACGTTTTCAAAGTGGTCGTGAGGACATAAATGAGAAATGAGCCCAAACCCAAAAAATCGCGCCTGGAGAAGTCAAAAGTGAAGACAATGCTGATTTGTTTTTATGATTCCAAGGGTATTGTCCACAAAGAATTTGTTCCACCCGGCCAAAACGTTAATGCGGTATTCTACCTTGGAGTTTTGAAGCGTTTGGTGCGCCGTCGGCTGAAGATACGGGGAAATTAGTACATTCCATGCCTAAACGTCTACAAAATTTTCTAAAATTTCGAGGCTACCCCACCAGCTATTGGACTTTTTATAATTACTTGATATTATCGTGTTCTGTTTGATGATCGGAGACTTTTTCCGTTTAGGTTAATTGTTTTTAAAATGACAATGAACTCTGTGGCTTTTGTTTATTGAATTATTTGAAGAGTAAATTTTTTTAAACGAAAAGATATGGTTTAATAACACAAA